GGATGTCGGGAGAAACTGGGAGAAGAGAGGTGGGCACGGTGTCACTTGCCCAAGTTATTAATGAAAGGAACAGAGGGTAGGATAAAGAAATTAGAAGATGACAGTAATAGAGATGAGTAGAGTGTGCCAGGATGATAGAAAAGCAGGGGAATTTAGAAGGAGTTTGGAAAAGTAATGGTCATAAAACAGCACTAGAAAGTTAGGGAGGTGATAGTCCTGAATCCCCTGACCTTTCACAAAGTCTGACCCCTGCTCTTCATTTGCTTCTGAAGGCCTAATTAATCCTGTCCTATGGTTGTATCTTCTTGGTCCATGTGGTCTTAGCATCTGAGGAACTTCTGGGGCAGGGGAGACCTAATATGAGTGAATAGCAACTAAGATTCGTATCAAACATATTTAGGTGAGCAAAGGTAAGGCAAGTATAGATGGTGTATTAGCTTCCTAGGGCTGCCATACTGAAATACCACAGACTGGGTCACTCAAGTAAAAGAAATTAATTTTCTCACAGTTCTAGAGGCCGGAAGTCTAAGATCAAGGTGTGGGCAGCTTTAGTTTCTTTTGAGAGCCTTTTCCTTGGCTTGCAGATGGCTGCCTTCTTCCTGCATTCCCTCATGGTCTCCTGCTGTGTTTTCTGTATCCTAAACTCTTCTTACATTAACAATTAGATTAGGCCCGTTCAGCCCTATTTTAACTTTATCACTTCCTTAAAGCTCCTATCTTCAAATATGTTCATATTTTGAGATACTGGGAGTTAAGGTTTCAATATATGAATTTGGGGAGGAAATAATTCAGCCCATAACAGATGGTCTATGTTTCACGTACCTAACCCTAGGGCACATCACCCCTCCTAGGACTGGCAGAACAGAAAAACACAGAAAATGTCCCCAGGCCCACCTTCTGCTTCACTTCTTGCTACACAAGGAAAATAAGCTCTGTTTCAGCACTAATCAAGGTTTCTCTTATCACCTACCAAACAAAACCTTAACTTGCCCAGTATTTGTTAATTCCATGTATGTGGTGCTTGAAATTAGCTTGACACTGTGGTGGTATGGGCTTAACGCTTTGGGAGAACTGCTATTAGACAGTCTGTATTAGTTTGCCAGAGCTGCCATGACCAAGGATCAGAGACTAAGTAGCTTATACAGCAAAAATGTAGTTTCTCACAGTTTGGGAGACTAGAAGTTCAAGCTCAAGGTGTTGGCTGGTATTTTCAGGAAGTTCAAGATCAAGGTTGTTCTTCTGAGACCTCTCTCCTTGGCTCACAGATGGCTGTCTCTTCACCCCATTTTTCCTCTGTGTGGTCTGTATCTTAATCTCCTCCTCTTATAAGGATACCAGTCATACTTGATTAGAGCCCACTCTAACAACCTCCAGTTTAATCACCTCTTTAAAGATCCTGTCTCCAAACACATCCTGAGATACTGGGGGTTAGGGCCTCAGCATATGGATTTTGGAGGAGCACATTTCAGCCCATAATAGAGCCTGGTTTATTTTTTGCATATAAATTATTTTTCCGTCCCCTAAATTCTTGCAGTCACATGACAGCATGGCTCAGGAATGCTCAAAGTCCACAGGCAGGATCAGGGGCCTACAGATGAGGGGAAAGAGAGCTGGATTTAGGGTCAGGAGTCCAAGGCTCTAGATGCTGATCATCCTCCAAAAATGGGACACTTGTGCCTGGGAGCTTTTAAAATTATAGACTCAAGAGCCCCTCCCAAGATTCACTGAATTTGAATCTTCTGAGATGAAGTTCAGGCATTGTTATTTTTTAATTTCCCATGTTATTCTGATGACCTGATAGGTTCTGAAGTCAGGGTTTCCAGCATCCTGTCAGTCAGTGTATTGAATAACCCAAAATTTAATTCTCAGGTGTAATCTTTGGGGCCATTTATCAGTTTTTAGATATTCTATAGGAAGCCTGGATTCACAGTTGGCCAATAAAAACTCTTTGCCCAAATATTTTACATTTTCCAACACATTCATGGAATTCCAGAAAGTCTGTGCTCAAGAGTTGTATATAATAAACACTTTGATAGAACATGTAAACGAAGCCCAGTTCTAGTTGCAGGAATGCTGTAGTATTTACTTTCTTAGTAGTAGGTTTCTGATCCATTTCCCTTACTATAAACGGGATCTTGAGCCAACATCCATCATTCTACACTTTTATGATTCTAATTGACATACTGTTAGTTTCCTAAATGTAAGTATGTTAACCTTTTCATCACCATTTTTTAAAACAAGTTGAATCTTCTTAGAAATTATCTTTCTGAATACCTATGATTGAATCCTGAGTGATGTAATGATATTATGACCACAGATAAAAGCAAGTGTAAAGATTAGAAGGCCACTCTGAGCTCTTTGACTTTTAACAGATTATTAGCAATTCACCTCACCACCCCCACTGCAATTTCATTCCATAGTCCTCACACTCACATTTATATGTGCTCCATGCTCCCAGTGGACTCCTATCCCCTGAGTTTATAGTGGAGGAAACTGATGTCCCTCCTTCCCCTCCTGCAGCAGAGAAAGTAGGTGACCTGCCCAAGGTCACATATGAGTTACCCATGTTTGAGTCTATTCCTAGACCACTGTCTTTCCCATTCTTCCCACTCTTCATGATTTATTCATGTTGCTCCAGGACATTCTTATCGAAAGATCAGGACTGTATCACCAGTGAAGCCCCACACAATGGGAAATTGCCCTGAATCCAGGCCAGATCAGTCCCAAGCCACAGTTTTCATGCAGTTTCCATCTGAGCCTTGGCTAACTCCCAAGGAAGCACATATCAGCTCTGCTGTATATTGGCAGAACTTTGGCTCAGAACATATTTCAAATGCCTCCCATTGAGCGTTGGCAGCCTTAAAAAAACATAGGAAATTATTCTGGGAGGCTCAGTGGCTCTGTGACACTTTACAAGGAGAAGCTGATGGCTTTCCCTCCCAAACTCTCCCCTCTCTGCCCAGAACAAATGACTGCATTTCCCTGGATGTGCCCTAAATTAGGAGAGGGCCAGCTCATCTGCAGCACTAATGGAGGCAATGTCTTTAGTGGGCAGGGCCCTCTGCATGGTGCAGGGTGCTTCGTGCCAAGCTCTTCCTCTCTTGGTTTTAAAAGGCTTGTATATTCCAAGAGAAATGCAGCCCATGTGTTTCTGATTCATTTACACTTAAGTCATTAAAATGTTGTGTGAGAGTTATTTGATGTCTGAGGAGCCTGTGAGTCTTCTTAATGGGAATTTTATTTTATTTTTTAAGTCTAATAGCCATCACTTTATTTTTTTTCCATTTATTTTTATTAGTTGGAGGCTAATTACTTTACAATATTGTAGTGGGTTTTGTCATACATTGACATGAATCAGCCATGGATTTACATGTATTCCCCATCCCGGTCCCCCCTCCCACCTCCCTCTCTACCCGATCCCTCTGGGTCTCAATGGGACTTTTAAAGGGTTTTTTTTTTTTTTTTTCTCTTGCCTAAACCAGAAAGTAGCATTTTGCTAAAACAGTGCCTAGGTTCAAACATTTCCTCATCGCATATACTTGCACCCACAATATCAAACACACCCTCTTAATAATGCCCAGCTTAGCGAAGTTGACTTTTAAAGGTGATAAAATAGAGAAACTGGAGAGAAAAATGGAACAAGGAGAACTTCAGCAAGATTCAAGGCACTGTTCCCCAAAATGTGCCAAAGCAGTGTTATCAGAGTATGGAGAATGCATGTGTTTGCCTCCTTGCTTGGAAGGGGTGGGAGTCGTCTCTTGAGTACACTGAACAACTAAAAAAGAATAAGGATAATTTCCTTTAAGTCTCACAGCAACTCCTATTTTCCAGATGAGGAAATAAGATCAGAGATGTTAACTATTGAGTCCAAAGTATACAGTTCGCTTAAGTAGAAAGGAAAGATTATAGCTAACTCTGACTCTAATTGCTCTTTTCAAAAAATGCCCCAAATTGAGTTTCTCTGTGACTGTGTTATGTATTTGTAATGCCATATGCACTATAATATGTTAGTGAGAAGCAGCACAACACAGTGGATACCAGCTCAGATTTTTCCCCATCACTTTCTAGCTGTGTGATCTTGGGTATCTTACTTAAATTCTCTGAGCAGTTTCTTCATCTGGAAGCAGGAATAATACTACTACTCAGCTTTGCAAAATGTAAAGAGAATCAAAAGCAGTTAACCCATTATTAGAACAGTACCTGACACATAGTGCTCAGTAAATATTAACTGCTATCTGTGACAGCAGTAGGAGTAATAAGAGGCTGGATAATCTAGGCAAGTTATGAACTCTCTCGCCTTAGTTTTCTTGTCTGTAAAATGGGTACGATAGTGTGACCCTCTCAAGTTTGTGGAAGTAATTGAGATGATGTCTGCACCTAATCCTGTGCCTAGCACAGAAAAGGTGATCTCAGTGAACTGTACTTTTTATAACCAGACATCCCTCGCCTTGTTCAGGACTGGTGGTCATTGTTGTGGAGAAAGGGATTTCCTTATTCAACTTGGCTGAGATCTGGTGCTGTTTTCTCCACAATCCCTGGGTCTAGCCACGTACACAGGCCCAGGTCTCTTCACAGCCATGGGGTGTGAGGCTCTCTGGCTGCGGTGGGTCCTCCCCGGGTGGTATCAGGCCCCGGCACAGTCCAAGTCAGTAAAAAGCTCAAGCCTCACTTTTAGCTGGTGAGGAACAACTAGCCATCTGAAGGACTGGCCGCTAGCTCACAAGCCCAGCCAGCTGCTCAGTTCACCAGGAAGCCTGTGGTTGTTTGCAGACAGACAAGCTTTGGGATTTGCCTAGTGTAGATATTAGAATTGCCTTCTTAGTATTGTCCTTGGTTAATTGATGTCCTTTTGCCAGTGTCCTGAAGACTAGCAGAGAATTATAGCCATCTGGCAAGGGAGACTGGGGAGAGCTGACGTTGTCCCTCTCCACTGTCTATACACACACACACACACACACACGCACACACACGCACACACACGCACGCGGTGATACAAATACCTATTCGAGCTCCTCAGTGATTCTCTCCCGGGAGCTGGAAGCAGCCGTTACAGGATGAAGGAGGGAACTGGAGGAGGAGATCTTGTAAGGAAGAAGACAGATTCTGTTCTGTCAGGTCCCTCTGAGTGTGTGTAAGAGCAAGTCAGAGGAGAGAGAGAGAGGAGAAGGCAGAGGGAGAGAGGGGGAGAGGGGATCTGTTGCAGGCAGGGGAAGGCGTGACCTGAATGGAGAATGCCAGCCAATTCCAGAGTCACACAGGGACCTCAGAACAAAGATAAGGCTGATACCACACTGGGGACGAGCTCGCAGACAGTCAGGCCAAGGGGACCAGGCAGCCAGGAGCACTCAAGGCAGGAAAATGAGGTGAGTGCCAGGGCAGAAGTGGGCATGGGGTGGGCAGGGGGGGGTGGCTTTCAGGGACCAGATGCCAAGTAGCCCTGGAAGGTCTGACCTTGTCTCTGGGCAGACTCACCTGCGTGTCCTGTGGTTGGTGCAGGGGCTCCTCATCAGTTCTCGGGGCTCTGAGAAGGGAGCCAGGCTGGGGCCTTGCCTGGGACTCCAGAGACTTGCAACTTGAAACGGGAGGCTGTGGCTCTGTGCAAATGCCGCCGGTGCCGCTGGAGCTCAGATTTCTCCTCTGCCAACGCAGGGTGCTGCCCGCTGGCCAGTGTGACTTTCCTCCTGTTGCCCACAAGGTTGAGTTTTTGTTTTCCTTCTTTAAAAAGAACACTGGTTTCTCTCTTCCAACACTCTGTGAGTTAAATATGTGTTTGTGTGTTTATTTGCTCTGACCGGAAAAGAAACCAGATCCCCATTGCTCAGCTCTGTGGCTTCTTAAACCTTCAGAAGTTTGCTAGTTTAAACCTCAGTTTAGAAATGCAAAAACCTGTCCACATTTTACAGTCCCCTATAAATTTCTGCATTTATTACTGAAATCAGAAGCCGCCAGTAGCATGAATCAGGCTATGAATTGCACCAAATGACTCTTAAAGGGATATCTCAAATTTAAAAAAAAAGTCTTCCTGATTCTGAACCTAGTATTTTAAATTGCAATTGTTTCCAAGCTCTTCAATATTTCCAATGTCTCAGCCTATACTTAGTTACTAGCTGCTTGTTACTAGACATTGCTTATAAGTTTTCCTCTCCAAGTGTCAAAATCCAGCCACCATAATTATTTTTACTACTTACAAGTGCTTATACTGTTAAAAATACAAAAAAGAAAAAACGAACACTCCAGAGACGTGTTAAGTCTCTGAACACCTCTATTTCCCGTTAATTTTACTCTCAGTTGAAAAAGGGTTTCTATTTGTTTCTCTTCTGCGGTCACCTAGCAACTTTTCAGGGTCTGGGGCCAATGAGGGGCTTCAGGCTGTGTTAACTCTTTGAACTCAGATTACCTGTGGTTTAGAGAGATAATCAGGTCTTTAAGGTTAATCCAATCACTCCGTTCTTTTTAAATCCATTGTAATATTAACCCTGCTGTCTAACTTCATTTTCCTTTCTCCTGAAAGAGATGAGATTTATGCCCCTCTACATGGAATGACCATTTGACTCATCTGTCCACCATTCAAGCCTTCACCCTACCACCCAGGACCCCAGCCATACCAAACTATAGGGCCGATGATCAGTTCTGTCTTGGCATTTGCTCACCCCTTAGCTCTCTTATTTCCCCTTTTTCTAGCAGTGGTCCCCAGTCTTTTTGGTACCAGGGACCAGTTTCATGTAAGAAAATTTTCAAGGGATGGGGGGAAGGAGGGAGGGGTTCAGGCTTCAGGCAGTAATGCAAGCTACAGGGAGCGACAGATGAAGCTTTGCTCACTGGTCCGCTGCTCACCTCCAGCTGTCCAGCCTGGGTCCTGACAGGCGGCAGGCTGGTACCAGTCCTCGGCCGGCCCAGGGGTTGGGGACCACTGTTCCACAAGATGATCATTCAAGCTTGCTCAAACATCACCTCCTCTTCCCTGCTCAGTTTCCCCAGAGTCAGCATCTTATCCTTTGTGCTTTTTCTGTCCTTGGGAGTTACCTCGCTTAGTATCATCATGTTGAAATGTCCAGCCTGAAAGTCCCTTAAGGAATAGGATCTGTGGTTTGTTCACCTTTGTATGCCTCGTACCTAGCATAATGTCTGTTTCATGCATGCAATCATTTCATTGCATACAATCAATACTGGCTGAATTGAATTCAGTTATTCAATAGCAAAACTTCTGGAAAAGTGCTCCACCAGAAGTCTCTAAAAGGTCTGGCCTCATACAGACACAACACTTCAGAGTTTGCAAAGCACTTGTAAAGTCTCTGTCGCATCTGGTCTTCAGATTTTGGATGAGGTAAGGGTTTATGGAGATAGGAGGATAAAAGAGTTAAGCCAATTGCCCAAAGCCACACTGATGATCTTGAAAAAGCCCAGACCCAAATCTGGATCTTTGGGCTCCAAGTTTAGTATTTCTTTCTATAATACTATGCCAGACTCTCAACCAAGTATATTATTCTACATAAGCAGCTCTCAACCCTAGCTGTACATTAGAACAATCTATAGTACATTTTAAAAAATGCCAATGACCAGGCCTCACTCCAGACCAATTAAACTAAAATCTGTTGGGGAGGGACTTTTGTATTAGTATTTTTTTTTTTAATTTTCACATAAAGCTATGGGTTTTTTGAATTATTTTTCACAGGATTAATTGCTTTGGCCAGATGCCTAGGCATGATATGGGCATGAACCCAGTTTCCTCTGTGAGCCTTTGTTATTGCTGCTTTCTGTAGAAGCTAACTCACCATATGGCATTGGGCATGACATGTCACCTCTCGGGGTATCCTTTTTGTCCTCTGTCAAGTAAGAGTGTCAAAGAGATCTACACAGGCCTTTTCAACTCTTCTATCCCAAAACAGTCTTGGTGTTGCGTAGGCTGAAGTGAGGAGTGAATGGAAAGGATAGAAAGTGCTACTTGTTCCACAACCATGGCTATATGCCGGCATTTTTTATGCATTCCTCAGAGGCTGCTCCTACAGTAGGGCTTATGAAATCCCGGCTTTATATATTACTTGTGACATTTCAAACAAATGTAACTAAACTTTTTGATTAGTCGGAGAATAGATAGCAGGTGTCAGAATTTGTACAGCCGGTGCCTGGTGGATAAGAAGCCAAAAACACTCAGAGAGCGTGATGGGAAATGGAAGCCGCCACTTGCATTCTTTGATTTGCAGCCCCGCAAGCAAGCAAGCGAGCATATGCTCAGGCTTATTATGTGAAAAGAGAGATTTGTTTCATATGTTTGAAACTGTTTTGAAATGCAAACAAAATAGAACAGAGTGCTTCACAGGCCTTCCTCCTACGCTGACCAGTTGCCTACTGCATGTGGTCTGAGGCCTCTGAGGATAGATGGAGCCATCCGCCTGGGCCAGCCCATGACAGAACCAGCAGCAGGAAGCTCAGGGTCTCCTCCATGTGGTGTGAAAAAAGCAGAAGTGGAGAAAACTGACCTTTCAGCCTTGCATAATCCGGGTGTTGCTATTGCAGGGAAGTCCAGTTTGGGAGCCAAAGCTCATTCCTAACCCCTGCTTTTCGGGAAGCAGCCTGATGGGGTAATAGTAACTAATGTTTGACTAGGGCTGGACATCTGACAAAGTACTTGCTCTCCAATTCTCCTTTACTGTGACAGCAGCTTCAGCGGTTATCATTACTATCGACACTTAATGAATGAAGAAGTCGAGAGGGAGACCTTACATGACTTCCCCGAGATGGGTTAGTTAGATGAATGAAGTCAAAGTCTGGACTGGAATCCAGCTCTTTCAACCCAAGACCAGTGCCCTCCCCTCCTCAAGAGGCACTTAACCAGAATTTCCAGTGCAGGTTGGAAATATCAGTATATTTCCTCATTTCAAAGTGGGGCTGCCTGACCCCTGCAAGCCAGAGTTTTCAGACTTACCTCTCCTACTACTTCATCAGAGAGCTTGGACCCATGCCTGCCTTTCTCTCTGCCTTGGAGGCCCTTCCTCCACAGATTGGTTTGTAAAAATATTGACCCTGGCAATTAGATGAAAACATTTTGTTTCCTTAGTTGCATCTCACGTGTTGCTATTGTAGGGGCCTTGGAAAAAATTTACCTCTATTTTTCTTAATTGAATAAATAGCACAAGGTCCTTCCAGACACATTTGAACATTTTACATACACAAAAGTAAAATTGAAAGCACTCATTTTTATTGAGTGTAATTTTATGTTACCACTTCAGAGATAACTACTGTTAATACCCCAAAGGTACCCTTCTAGGCCTTTTTTGCACTTATATATTTCTCTTTTATGTAAATATTATATAAGACGGCTAGATAATTTCATTGCAGTTATCTCATTGTGTTTATACACTCAAAAATTCATATAAATGCATATAGACACATATATGCATTTTTTTACTGAGCAGGGCAGGGTAGGTTGGGAGAAACAACTTTCTGATTAGTCAGATTCTAACTATTAATGTTACAATGCTGGTATAATTCCCCAGAACTTACTTTTTAGACTATATATTAATAAGACTCTGGCCCCACATTCATGCTTTAGCTCATTCATTCATTCATCATCTATTATATACTAGGCTTTATACTGGGTCCTTTACATATATCATCCTTAATATTCATGTGAGCTCTGTAAATTAGAAACTATAATCTTCACTTTACATTTGAGGAAACCTGAACTCAGAGACTAATTCCCCAAGATTTCACAGCCAATAAGGAAGTGAGCTGGGATTTGAACCCAAATACACCTAACTTCAGGGCTGTGCCTAAAGCATTGCTCTAATTGGAAGCATGTATAGGGAGCTCAAATCTGGAGTGAAGGATATTCCATGGTATCCTGGGCTGCTTTGAGTTGGATGGTGGAGGATAAATGAGATGACCAGGTGAGGAATGAGTGGGGCATGTGTGATGGAGTCGAGGCCGGGATGGGTGTGGCATGCTTCCAGAATGATCTGCCTCAGGCTGGTATGAGATGAAGCTGGACAGGCAAATCAGCACTAGATGAGAAAGGGCTCATCAGCCACCCCAGTAGCAGATGCTTTGCCCTGCAGGCACAGCGAAGCCACACGGACACGTCTGTGTTTTAGAAAATCAAATTTGGCAGAAGATTGCTAAATGGCATGAAATGGGGCCCAAGGAAATCAGTTAGGATTCAATAGCAATAGTTCAGATAAGAACGTTTAAATTAATTGACTGAGGAGAAACAGAGAGGTTTCCAAAACATAGGAATCAGAATAAATAAGATTTAGGGGAGAAACTGACGAGCCAGGTTTGGGATGTTTGAGTTCAAGGTCCTTGAGTCTTGCAGAGGAACAATCTATTGGATGCCGTGGTTGTACTGTACATTGACCATTAGGTTTTTGACAAGCCTTAAACATTCTGCCTCATTATTGCATCAGCTACTTGGGTGTGTTCTGTAAGTTTTAGTTGAATTTCCCATGTCCTTTATACAACTCTTAACAGTCTATTATCTTGGATTCCTACAACTGGAAATAGATTGTAAGTTTTTGATCCTTTTACAAGAACACTTGTCAAAGGGGAGGGGAAAAAACTTGTTTTGGTCATTTCTTCTTAATTCAAAATTTTATATTTCTTGATTAATTTTGTTAAATTTGTTTAAGGTACTGCAGATCCCATCATCAAGTACAAGCCTTATCTCAATATTTCCATGTTACTATTACTTTTTAGAAAACTGAATCAAGAGTTTATGATTATTAAATTAAGCTGAGCTGAAGAAATTGTATCACTTTTTACCTATGAAATTTATATTCTAAACCAAAAAACAAAACAAAAAAAAAAAATAAACCAAAAAACAATATGTCTCAGAGTCCCAAATATGATATTTTATGGGAAAGTTTAATACTATTATGGAATCTTTAAAAGAGCACAACTGGGAGAAACCTTAAAAATCAAGTTACTATCCACCAGTATTATACAGTGGATAAGCAAGGCCCACAAGGGAAAAATAATTACAGCAAGTCAGTGACAGGCTGGGAACTTGGTCTCCTGGCTGTTGATTTAGTTAAATGACAAGAACTGCTATCTGAGTGTGAGTGAGTCCGTTCATGTTTTTTCAGGTGGCTCCTTCTTTCTCATGCTCTGTGCTTCTCCTTGCTGAAGGCCTCAGCCCACCTTGTGGAGCTTAACAACATGTTTGGCCAGATCCAGTCTCCTGGCTATCCGGACTCCTATCCAAGTGATTCAGAGCTGACTTGGAATATCACTGTCCCAGAGGGATTTCGAATCAAGCTTTACTTCATGCACTTCAACTTGGAATC